GGGGGGGGGGGGGGAGAGACTAGGGGGCGGCAAAAAATAAGAGGAAACAAAAGAAAAAACCTAAAAGAGAACTGACAACTCCAGCCATTACCAAAAAGAAAAAGTTGTCGCCCCACCCTTCTTTTGGCAGCTTGGCTCTCCATCTTCGCTGCAAAAGGAGAGAATCCCACAAAGACACTCCCTTCTCCTCCAAAACCAAACTACTCTCTTCTCCCATTAAGCAAAGAAAGACTATCCAAAACAAAACACACGGCAGCCGCCCCTTCAGGGAAACCTAACTTCCAGCAATAAAAGGTAGTCGGCGGCCCTTAACCTTGAAAAAGAAAACCATTAGTCAAGCCCCATCTTCCTCTCCACAGACCAACCGGCCATACACCCGACCTTCCCCTTTCTAACCACTTTCCTTTCATCTTTAACCTTCCACCAGGAGCATCACCTTCTAGCCAGAAGTCTAGAGATCTTCCCTGTTTTAACCGGCCACAGTCCTATGGTCTTCTCATAGCAGCAAACGGCTAAATCAATGTCGAAGCCCCTTCCTCGGTAGCACTTTCTTCTTCAGTCTCCTCAACAGCAACGATTATAGACTAGCCAAGACCGATCATCTCTTTCAACTGGTCAGCAACAGATCCACCCATCATCAATGACCTAGCAGTGGCCATAAAATACCACCAGCAGCTGCATAGCGTTCGACAACAACCCATTCGTCAGCGACCCCTTGGTCTTGTCACCACCTAAAATAGAGAAGATAGTGAAAGAAAGAGAAACAAACAGAAAAGGCAAAAGATAAAGAATGGACATGAATGGAGAATTGAAAAAAAAAACAGATCTAAAAAGCTAACTACAACATATTGCATGTGTTGTGTTTTTGGTTGGTTTTGTAGGTCACTGCCGGCGAGGAGGGGAAGAAGGGAGGAAGCTGTGACTAACCCTCCCACTAGCCTGGGTTTCTAGCTGCAGTGCGTGGAGGAGATGCGTGCCACGTGTCCTACAGTTCCAGAAGGCTTTCCTTGTAAATTCCATATTGTTTTGGGGCTATTATTGTAAATTTAAAATTTATGTTATGTAATTTTTGTTTAGTTGTTTTGAATTTTTATTTTTGAAGTGTGGATGTAAAGAAAAACAAAGAAAGAAGAAAAAGGAAAAGAAAAAAAAATATAGTAAAATAGATGTGTGTGTGTTTGTGTTTTTATTTATGTTATTAAATTATAAAAATAAAATAAAAAGACAAAAAGAATTAAATGTTTAATTTGAATATGATTAAATATCTTAAGGACAAATAAAATCAAGTTATATTTTCCATGAAAATGTAAGAACAAGCTTGTATATATATTATGAGATTTAATAACTGATTTATTAAAGCCTTAGAATTTAATTAATATTTTAGATTTTTAAATCACATCAAACTGTAAAGCAGCTTACCTCATGTAGGGTGTGTTAGGGGTGCTAATACCTTTCCTAGCCACAACTAGTCCCTTATCCCTTGAATTTCTGGCAACGACCAGTACATCTGGGTTTCCTAGTAACCCTCTATTAAATACTAGGTGGCGACTCTCAAGAACTAATCAAGAAAACAGAATGAAAAATCACTGAATCGTCGCGTGGGTGATGTGCGACACTGATAATGAAGGAGAATATATTGATGGAGGTTTCAAAGAGTATTGCACTGTCAAAGGTACCAGAATGGAAAAGACCATTCCAGGCACACCATAACAGAATAACATTGTTGAACAGATGAACAATACCATCAATGAACGAGCTAAAAGCATGAGGTTGCATTCTAGATTACCTCAAACCTTTTGGGCTGATGCAGTTCATACTGCAATTTACTTGATCAATCATGGACCATCAGTTCCTTTAAAGTTTAGACTACTTGATGAAGTATGGAGAAGAAAAGAAGTACAACTCTCTCATTTAAAAGTCTTTGGGTGTGTTTTCTATGTGCATATAAATTTTGATACTCGCAACAAGCTAGATGTCAAATTTAAAAAATGTTTCTTCATTGGTTATGGAGATGAAAATTTTAGATTTTAATTCTGGTATGATCAGAATAAAAAGATTATCAAAAGCAGGAACGTGATCTTCAATGAGAAAGTGTTGTACAAAGATAGATCAAGTACAAAAACAGATGTGGCTGATTTAGATACAAGTCCATAAAAGTCTGAATTCATCATATTAGAAGGGCTTCTCGATGTTACCAAGCAGAACAAAACTCAAGAGTCTTCACAAGAAGATTTAAGCATATTTTTAACCATTACTACACAAGAAGATATGGATCTAAGTGAACTAGCTATTTATGTTCGCAGGTTTTCAATGACTGTAAAGCCTCTACAACGGTTCACAATTCTACTAAATTATATTTTACTGATAGATGGTGGTGAACCATTAACTTATGAAGAATCCTTACAAGACAGAAACTCGAGCAAGTGGGAGTTAGACATGAAGGATGAAATGGAGTCGTTGTTGAAAAACAAGCCTTAGGAGCTAACCACACTACTTGAAGGAAAGAAGGCTTTGCAAAACAAGTGGGTGTACAGAGTAAAGACTGAGCATAACCGAAGCAAACGGTTCAAGGCAAGACATTTTGTAAAAGGGTTTCAATAAAAAAAAAAGATTGACTATTCTAATATATTTTCTCTAGTTGTGATGCTCATAACAATCAGAGTTGTTCTGAAAATAGTAGCTGCAAAAAATTTACATCTTGAACAATTAAATGTAAAAATAACATTTCTTCATAGTGAATTGGAGGAAGATATTTACATGCAACAACTAGAGGAGTTTGCAATACAAGGAAAGGAGAACCAAGTCTGCAAGCTAAAGAAAAACCTATATGGTTTAAAGTAAGCTCTAAGACAATGGTATAAGAAGTTTGACAACTTCATGTATAGTTCGAGATATACAAGATGTCAGGTTGATCATTGTTGCTATGTCAAATATTTTGACAACTCATATATCATTCTACTATTGTATATAGATGATATGTTAATTGCTAGATCTAGCATGAAAGATATTGACAAGTTGAAACAATAGTTGTCAAAATAGTTTGAAATGAAGGATTTGGAAACTGCTAAACAAATACTTGGCATGAGAATCATCATAGATAAAGATAAAGGCATACTAAAGCTTTCACAAACATAGTATGTTAAAAAGGTTTTTAGCAGGTTTAGTATGGATAATGTTAAACCAGTAAGTATACCTTTAAGGAATCATTTCAAGCTTAATAGAGATCAGTCACCAAAAACTAAGCTAGAATATGGATACATGAATAAGATTCCATACGCCTCAGCTATCGGCTCTTTGATGTATGTTATGATCTATACTAGACCAAACATTGCCCATGCAGTGGGAGTTATAAGCCAATATATGAACAATCCTGAAAAGTAGCATTGAGGTACTTAAAAGGTTCATTGGAGACATGCCTCACCTTCACAGTTGGTGGTTTGAAACTTGAAGATTTTGTATATTCTAATCTAGCAGGATATGTTGATAGCAGAAAGAATACTACAAGATACATTTATACTCTAGGAGGCATTGCTGTTTCTTAGAGTTCTACCTTGTAAAAGATAGTCTTTTTTTCAACCATAGAAGCTGAATATGTTGCAGTCTTAAAATCTGCAAAAGAGATAGTATGACTACAGAGTTTCAAGAAAGAATTGGGTAAGATATATGTAAAGGGTACTTTGTATAGCAACAGTCAAAGTGCAATTTTCCTTGCCAAGAATCCAACATTTCACTCTTGGACTAAGCATATTTAGATCAAATATCACTTCATCCAACATTTGCTAGATGATAAACAATTACTACTAGAAAGATCTATGAAAGCAAGAATCTAGCTAACATGTTAATCAAAAGATTTACACTTGATAAACTGAAGTTATGTACAACTTCAGTTGGCTTTCAAGGATAAAAGATAATTCTATTGTTTGTCTCCAAGTATGAGATTGCTAATGGAGACAATCAATGTCCTACCATATACAAGTGATACTACCTAATCTCCCACTTTGCACAGGGTGGAGGACATAAATGGTGGTATAAATTATGACATGATTTATGCCCCTTCCCTCATATATATATATATATATATATATATATATATATGCGCACTTAGTGAAGAGCTATGCCTGTGAATGTAAAAAACACAGAGAGAATAGAAGTGAAGAGAGAGCTTGAATGTAGAGTTGAGTTAAAAAGAATTTTCTTCTTCTTTTTATTTATATTATTTCTTTGAGTAATTAATATAAATCAGTAGTTTTATGAAATAGACAAGTTATCAAACTACATAAATTTATATATGTTTAAATGTCCCAACACTATTTTCCACCAACCTTTGCATCATTGATGTCAGGGGATGTCCTAAACACCATTGTTGTCTTGAATTCAAGTTTCGGTCTTGTATCATCTCTGTGTCCTTGAACTTTTGGAAGCTAATTTTGATTGTTTTACACCGATTTCTTTTTGACACACAGAAAGATTTCGGTCACATCCTTGACCAGTTTCCAAATAACTTGGAGCATGGAGCTAAAAGAAAAATATCTTAAGCGTTCAGCAGTAACTAAGACAGTACAAATCTTGCAAATACAAACAAATCCAGCTAACCCCAGAGGATAAAAAGTGAGCAAATTGCGTATTCATGAAAAAGGGTATTCAGTAGTGTGACACATACACGTTATATTCGACAGTAGCATCACCTTGCTTGTCAAACCAAACTGTATGTGCCAATGCATAGCCATGAGCAAGCCTAAATAGCCCACTACCTCCAACGATTGGCATCTCCCTCACATCATTTAGAATTTGGTTCCTTCCAAGGATGCTAATACTACTTCCATTATATTTACCTTCTGTAAAAGCAAAATTCATAACCATTAGCAAACAAATATCGTTTTGCGAGGCGAGGGCATAGAGTCCTTGAGCTTTTCCAACAGCCTTTGAAGAAATTTCAAGCCCTTCCGTCAACGGATCATCCGCCATCATTGTGCCACCAAAGGCATAATTATCCGGGCCGGCAATTCTAATAGCTGTTGGATTTTTTCCACTAACAATGTCATGGAAGTAGAAATGTAGGTGTGTGGTCTTTTCTATGCGCTTGATAGCTATGGCTTCAGTTTCTTCCTCATAGAAAGCCCCACAAGTGATTGTGCATAAGTAGGAGAATAGGATGAAGTGAAGGGTGAAGAGAGTGCAGGCCACATGAGAAGCCATTTTGTGATTGTGTGATCAAGTGTGTTCTTTATGGCTAGACTGGACTATGATGTGAACTTGTGAGGGTTACTACTTATAGACTTGCAGTAGACGATCACTAGACGAGTAAATTTGCTTTTTGAAGGGGTTGGCCTGTATTGCTGCATTTCTAAGAGAACTTTTCTCCTATTTTGTCAGCTTTTTATCTTTTTTATTCGCCCATTTACTCTCTCTTGCAAGAATGATTACTTTCCTTCCCACGCCTTCAGCAAGCGACATGGAGAGTTTCATTGCTTCGAAGCATATGAAACTATCACGCTTGTGTTCCACTTCTCTTGTGTGTCAGCTACCAACTTTCTGCATATAGAGGACTTTTTTTCTGTGGTTTGTCTTTGCTTCCAGCAATCCTAAATGCAAAGCTTAATACCTTTGTCCTCACTCCCATATTAACTTAATCTTCTCTCAAGAGGAAGCTTAGTCTCAGATTCCTTGCTTCTCCTGTAATTCTCTTGTCCCTTATCAGTGCAGTTGCAAGCAAGAATTAATGTTGGAATATTTTCAGTCTATTCTTGATCAGAGACCCGACAAAGTGGTCTCCAAAACAATTGCAACTTTATCTAGCAATAAAAACTCCTTGAGTAGGGACAAAGCGATTAATCCAAATCAATGAAATTATTCTAATCAGGAAAAAACAAATGACGGAACACAGGATATAGCAAGGAATATGCAATGAGACTGATGGCAGCAAGCTGGCTGGTTTCAATGGCCATGCTATAAACTGCGAGCAACTAACACCTGTAATTTTTTCATCTAACTGATAATAGCTGTGGAGAGAAGTTCATTCCAAGCGTCTAGAACTCCTGCGACACACCAATGAGTACAATCCATGCCTCTAAAGCCATTGTAAGAGCTAGGATGTCCATCTTTTCTTAGCTGTGAAAGAGTTGTTATATTAAGCAAATGAACAGGTTTCTTGATAGTATTTAACACATCTTCTAATGCTTGCAATGCCAGTGGTGAGCCACCAGGGTAAGTTGATCCACTAACTGGCTCTGTCTCCTTTCCACAGTTTGTCACTCCTGGTTTTCCCCATTCCGCTCCACTGATTCAAAGGCGAAGTTCAAGTCATGAAAATAGTATAAAGCAGTGTTGGTTTTAAGTGGATGAAACTAGTTAATTCTTTCTTCATTTATCAAGAAAAGAAGAGAGCCTTACTTGTAATGGGATGGAGAAATTCCCTGAAAAATAACTTTGGTTTTACATGTATCAACATCAGAATCAACCCATTTTGCCCATGTTGTTAAGCCTTTCCGGAAAGCCACCATGCGATCCATGTCCTCGAGTATGGTCTCACCTTCTTGAACATAATCCCATCTGAAATTTGAAACCGAAAAATCAATAACACCAAATCAACTTGATTCTTTTTCAATTGAAATGTAAATCTACTACTTCTGCCAAGTTTTTCGAGCTCATACGGTTGCTTCGGTCCTCTCCTGTACCACCAAAGCCAGGTATTGAACACTAGAACATCCATGTCCTTCCATGTGTTTCCATCCTTGAGCGAATCAAGTTTTAACACCCGGCCGATTTTTTCTTGTTCGATGTCTACCAAGTAGTGGGAATTGAACAGCTTTACAGACACATCGTAATCCTGAAAATTTCAATTCCAATTAATTTTGTAAACGTAAGACTCTATTTTCCTTATAATAGCAATGGCTGCCACCTCTCCAGGGCTAGTTCACTCACCTGGAATGTCACTGTACTGACAGAGTTGTTTGTCTCCTCTGTCATAATGGAATCAGGCACAGCTGCATGAAGCAAGCATAATAGTGACTCAAAATGGTTTAGACTGAGAGAGTCCCCTATAAACATGATCTTCTTGCCCTTCAACTTCTTCAGGAAATGTTTACCATCAAACCTAATGTGTTTACACATTCCAAAATAGTACAGTATCAGGAACAAAATTAATAACTTGTGAAATTCATCAAAATCCATTGAGTTTTTTTTTTCTTTTTTTTTCCTGAACTAAAAGATAAAAAAAAAAAGAATGAAAAATAACAATGTGCCATCATCTAGTTTAGGAGCTACTTGGAATTGTGTTTCAAAAATATTTTTTAAAAAATTAGATTTTTTATTTAGAAATATCTTTTTTACTTTTTACATCATTTAATGTATTAATATCATAAATAAATTTTAAAATTTTAAAATTACATATTATTTTAATACATTTGGCTTTAAAATATAACATTGCGCATCATTTTTCCTACTGAGGAAACCATCGTTGTTTCTTCCGTAATTGACCACAACATATGTTCCCCCCTCTTCTATTCCTTTTAACATCCTCAACAAGTACCAAAAACCCTAAAGAGAAACTCTACTCGTCCTGGACTACAAATCTCAACACAAACCTCAGTTAAAAGATAAGGAAAACGTATAATTTAGCTAGGTATTTCAAGAAAATAAGCTACTACACATATTTGTTTCTCAATTGTGCTACAATCAATGTGATGTAGGCAGGTTTGAACAGTCTCATAGCTCTTAACATTTAGTTGTGGCTGTGTTAGATTATGCAGAAAGCCTAATTATATACTTGTTTATGGATAAGAGAACAAAGTTAGGTTCAAGAAAAGTCATATCCATACCAAACAAGTAGGTTGATGCAAAAATATAATAATTAATTATCTAATTAAATTTAAATTTTATCAAATAATTTTGTAAACTCAATTCTACAGGAGACTTGTTGGAAATAACTAGTCAAGCTTAAGAAGACACTTGAGTTAGACTTTGGAGATGCTATTTGAGCTTTCTTTTTCTTTTTCTTTTTTTCTTTTTTTGGATTTTCAAGTTATTTTTTTATTTTTATTTATTTATTTATTTAGGACTCTATTTTTTCTACATTGTAAACTTTTTAGAGGAGCAAACGATAATTAAAGAAAATTACTTGATAATAAAATACGAACTAGATGTGAAAAACTCTTTCCGACGACAATGACAATGAACTGGATGTGAAAAACTCTTTCCGACAACAATGTTTATGGTATAGAAGACAGAATCATATTTGAATCCAACAAAAGATGTAAGAATATTTTTCCTTTGGCAAAATTAGTTTTTTGAACTTCATATTTCTTGTTTCTCTTTATTTCTTGTGTATACATCTCTTTTTTATATGTAAATATTAATAATTATAAACATTGTTGGCAACAACCTATATTTCTTGGCAACAACCATAATATTTCTTGGCAACAACCTATCACACCTTCATGACATAACTGTTTGATGTCTCTCTCATCAATGCCTGATCACTTGTACAACGAGGAAGCTTGAGGCATAACCATCCTCCTGAATTGCTTATTTCAAGTCTAGACTTGCTAGCCTAACCAAAGTATTGCCACCCATCTTTTCCCAATTGTCTGTAAGTAAACTACAGCTCAAAAGAAGCTGGAAAAAGCTTTAAAACATCATTGCATGGAGAAAGTACAAAGTTCCCTTTTGACCTGTGAGGATTCATTATTAAAGAACTCAAATTATAAAAAAAATAAAATCATCTGGTTATTTAAGACTTGGTCTAAATTATTGGAGATCCTCGCTTAAGTCTTGTAAGTCTTTCTTTTTTAAAAAGAAAAATGAGTATCTTTGTCGATTCAAGAACTCATAAGACTAACAGTACAGCAATGTAGAAAAAATCACAGAGTATTCACACACAAAAAGAGAGATGGATGGATGGATGTACCTGGGCAAGTCACAGGCATTAGGCTGCCATCTATATTGAAGGTAGAGGTGATCAGGTCGGTCATATTTTAGACAATCAAATTCCTTGCGAATAAAAGGGCATGCAAATGAATTGTAGAGAGGATACGACATGTCTTGAACCCAACTTCCTTGATACATATTGCAGACTTTCTTTTGCCATTTTTTCCACTTCAAGTTCTTGTTAGTTGTAAAGGTTTGGAGAATACTCTTTGATGAGGTAGCAGAACATAGACAAGAAATTGTCATGAAAATGGCTAAAAGGACACAACAAGATCTTTTAGTCACAGATTGCATCATTGTGGAGAGCAAAGGGAGACAGAAAGTCAAGAGAGCTTAGTTTGTCCTGTATATGCTCTTCATATATAAATATATGACAGGTATTCCTGTTAAAGGTTCGGATTAACCAATCAAGTGGATTATTTTTTCTTCTTTTTTATTAAGGTTAATTGGATATGGTTTCGACAACGGAATTTCTTACATTTTTGCAGGTTTACATATATAATTGGTGATGTGACAGGAACACAAGCATACGAAACTATTGCTTGTGTTCCACTACACTTGTGTGTCAGCTAACAACTGTCTGCATTTAGAGAACTTATTTTCTATGATTGATCTTTGCTTCCAGCAATCCTATACACAAAGCTTAACAGCTTTGTCCTCGCTCCCATTAAATTAATCTTCTCTCAAGAGGCAGCATAGTCTCAGATTCCTTGCTTCTCCTGTAATTCTCTTGTCCCTTATCAGTCCAGTTGAAAGCAAGAACTAATGTTGGAATCTTTTCAGTCTATTCTTGATCAGAGACCCCACAAAGAGATCTCCAAAACAATCGCAACTTTGTCTAGAAATAAAAACTCCTTGAGTAGGGACAAAGCAACAAATCCAAATCAATGAAATTATTCTGACCAGAAAAACAAATGACGGAATACACAGGATATATCAAGGAACTTGCAATGAGACTGATGGCAGCCAGCTGGCTAGTTTCAATGGCCATGCTATAAAATGTGAGCAACTAAGATCTGTAATTTTTTCTTCTAACTGATAATAGCTGTGTAGAGAAGTTCATTCCTAGCGTCTAGAACTCCTGCAACACACCAATGAGCACAATCCATGCCTCTAAAGCCATTGTAAGAGCTAGGATGTCCATCTTTTCTTAGCTGTGAAAGAGTTGTTAAATTAAGCAAATGAACAGCTTTGTCGTCACTCCCATTTTGCCCATGTTGTTAAGCCTTTCCGGAAAGCCACCATACGATCCATGTCTGAGTATGGTCTCACCTTCTTGAACATAATCAAATAAGAGAGAGTATTCTGTTTCTAATTAAATCAATAATTATTAGAAATTAATATTAGGTGGATGAAATTTAAAAGATTAATTGCTATCACTCATCTGGAATATCACCGTGGTAAAATAATTATCTGTATTTCTTGTGGTGTTGGAAGAAGGCACAGCAGCATGAAGCAAGCACAGCAAAGACTGAAAATTGTTTAGACTCAGAGAGTCCCCTACGAATATAACCTTCTTGCCCTTTAACCTCTTCGAGAAATCTCGACCATCAAACCTGCAACAAGGCTACATAACTAATTTTCGACCCAGAAATATGGATAAATCTATATGATATAATATTTTAGCATATTGTGCTCCCTGCCTTGGCTGCAATGACAAACAGACTTTCTAAAAGATCCATCAATGATAGGAAACCAAGCCCTTCCCAAAGGCCCAGCCATCTAATCAAGCACAACGTACTCATGTAATATTAACAAAGAAAAGAACGGCCCAGCCTGAATCCTTGACCCACCTGTCCCTTGACTTACTGACTTTCCAGCTAGTAACTACCTCTTCTTGGACAAACGACCCTATTAAATCTTCGGGTTCTCTCTTTAATTCAATCACTAATCAAAGGGTAAAGACCAAAACTTTTCTTTTATTTGAACAATAATCAATAAAAAAATTAATAAAGACTTCACGTTTTTTGGGCAACAAATATTAAAGCTTTAATCCTTGTTGTTTCTTTACTAATAGTATTAGCCTAAATTTTGCTTATTGAGAGAAATATATTTATTGTTGTTTTGAAGTTTTTTGAACTGGGTTTTTGTTGTTTCTTGTGTTGTCATAGATGGAAGGTAGTATTGCTAAGGAGCTTTACTCAGAAAGTCTGCAACTTTCAAGTGCTGAATTGGGTTCTAAGCCAATTGCCTGTGGTACGTAGAGAGATTTTTATGATATGAGTTTTCGTCTATTATTTGTTTACTTGACATGTTTGTGATTATGGTTGCTTTGCATGCCCTTTTTAATATGGTTGAGTTAATGGTCTGTGGTTGATTGCTCTTTCTCTGTTTCTGTTTTTCAGTTATTTATTGTTATTTTCTGCATGGAAAATTAGTTTCTTTTTAGTAATTTGGAGCTGAATGATGATCGTTGTTGGATTTACTATGTCAAGCAGCAACCAGGAATTAGTGAAGGAAAACAAAAAGAAAAAGGCTGCAAATTGATGCTCTTTCGTCTTGCATGTGGATGCATGTACATATGCAATTTCCATATGGGTTGATTGAAGAGCAAAACTAAATGATTTTCAATTGTATAGTGTTCCTTAAAAACTACTTTTCTGCTTCATGTGCCACTTGTGGTTTGTGTTTGTCTAACAATTGACTGAACCATTTTGGCATGCTTTCCTTTGTTTCTCACATGTCTGAGATTTCTAATTTATGTGAATGAATCATGACATTTTATTTGGTGGTTCTTAAATAAAGTTAGTTTTGGATTTGGTATGAAGGTGACTTGCAAGATGATGGGCCTTTATGGGATGTTTCTGATGAGGAGTTGGATAGATATTCTGATTTGGACCGGGAGTGGCTAAGGAGACATGATCAATTTCACACTGTAATTTGATAACTCTGTTTAATTTGCTCATCCTTCTGTTTTTTCAACTTGCAGTCTGAGTTTTAAACCTTTTTTTATTTCTTTCCGGATGACTTCAGATTGGATATCGTGATGGCCTCATATCAGGAAAAGAAGCTTCTGCGCAAGAGGGATTCAATATTGGTTTTAAACAATCAGTGCTTGCAGGATACAACTGGGGTGTTGCTAGAGGTGTTACAAGGTAAAGAAATAAGAACATGAAAGAAGAATTATATTATGTTGTAGAATGAATGCTATAATATTCCTATGATTTTCTTTTAAATTCCTTTCTTTTTTATTATTGTTTGTGGATATGTATTTCCATGAAGCGCGCTTGCCTGCCTTCCTGATGCATTGAAGGAGAGGCTGATTGAAGATCAAGAAAAAAGAAACAAATTCCAGGGTGTTTATGAAACAGTGCATTCTGTTTCAACAACAGATGCTCTTAAGTTCTTTCATGATGATGTATTGAGAAAGAAAGAAGAGGAGCAAAGTGAGCATTCTAAGGCTAGTTCTAATGTATCTGGAATGAGTAAAGATAGCTCAGGCTGCAGTCATCTCGAAAATTATGTTGGGGAGCTTCAATCACTCCTTCTTGAGTCTCCTGCAATCAAGTCACATTTATCAGTAAAGTAACTTGTGTACAGAACATAATAGTGTGCGCTACATATTGTCTCTTTATAGAGAGGTAACATTATGAAAATAATTCTCACAATTGTATCACCAATTTTGATTTGGTCCAATTGTATTGCAAGTTTGTTTACTTCCAGTAATTTAATGCATATGAACTTTCTGTTGATATTTTGTTTCAAATCTTACCGCATATTCTCTCTTAAATTTACTTTTGGATGTTGTGGCCCAGAGATGAAAGTCATTATAATCATGTTCATCGTATGGTTACCAACATATCTATGCCAATTTTGGAGAAATTGTAAGCGAAGTATCTAATATTTGAACCGAAAAATGCATGTGAGACTGATTGAACGTTACCAGTTGGGAAGGAAAATTAAACAAAGCAACTTTCAGTTTTCAAGAGCTGTTTGTTCATCAGTCTTCGGATTTTTTTTAATCACAATGTTGTGCGTTTATCATTTGAATTCTGCAGTTGCAATAACATTATGTAGTTAGCATGAGGCCTGTTGGAATGAATCTTCTGGTTGTACTTACCATTGGTTGTAGTTTGCATGTACTACAGAACCTATGGAAACTGAAGTAGTCTCCAATGATTATCGACATGGTTGTCCCTCTTCCTTTTAACAATCTAATTGAGACTGGATAATCATGTTCCTGTTTATTCTTGGAATTGATAGTTTAGTCTCTTCACGACCTTGACCTGACATTATCATGTATTCCGGTTATGAAGTTGTTTAATCCATAACCTCTTAAAGATTGCACAGTGACATGGATGCTGGGAAATGTGACTGGAGATAAAAATAATCAGATAAACACAAACATAAATTCATTAGTTACTGCACAATATTAGACATAATAACCACAATACATTAACAACATTTGGAGGAAGAAGAGTTTCTCCAACAACATATTATAGATAGTAATCATCTGGATGACAACTCAGTCAGATTTCATACTGCTATTACATATGTAGACAAGACTCTTCAGTTGGACTTCATCTGCAGAGATTAGGAGAAACTACCGAACACTGCATCTGCACTTGAATCTTCATTCTAGCCATCACATGATTGTCTGAACTCTGAAGTTCTGAAAGTGAACAGAATAAGATGTTTCTCTACCTGAGATTGTAGTTTACGTCTAGAACTTGGGCCCTGGCTAGCAATAATAATCTTCCTACTTCACCAACTTTTATTATAGGTAGAATCTACCTGTGTAGCTTCCATTTTAGCATGATCTGCAACGAAATGTTAAAGGAATGCATGATTTGTCACATATTCTCAGTGGTCTTTAATGGCATTTCAACTTTCACTACTGTAGCCAAATAGAAATAACGCCTGCAAAGTAATGTCTTATTTACCTCAGTGAGTGACATCAGCTACAAGCTTGAATCGGTCTTGTGTGAGAAAATGCTGCTGGTGCATGCCTGATACGAGTTTCATATTTCGGTGTTGGCAAGACTTTTTCAAAAGCTTCAACAAGTAGTGCCACCTTCCTCTTCCTAGCTGGAGCGAGTTTGGTGACAGTCTGTCGTAGCGCATAATCAATCATCCATTCTTCAGAATTTTTCCTTTCATCCATCATCTGGTGCCTGAGATCGACCTTTTCTGCCTCTGGATCCGGAACAACAGGAAGGAAATTTGGTTCTCTTGGGTTGAATTCTCTCTCTTCCTCCAGGTCCACGATGGGTTTCTTGTCTCCAAATGTCCATTTCCTGTTGTTGCAGGTATCGTGAAGTTCTTGATCGGGATTTCCTCTTGTGTATAAAAATGGACGCTTTGATCCTATGCTGGTTCCATTGTTGGCAGAGAGGAGGGTTTCTGCCGTATCTGACTTGTTACAAACTTCCACTTCTGTCTTCTCAGCATCTCTTGTATCATCTCTTGTTAAATTGATTTCATGCACTCTTGAATCACTCTGTGCCTCAAAATCCATGGCAGTTAGGATTTTGATCTTGTTAGCCTCATCTTGATCTTCGTCAGATAAGTTCTGGCTCTCAGGAACATTATTTGTCTCATCATGTTCATCCAATTGGTGGTTATGAGGCTCAGTTGGAGTGCTGTGGGCAAAAAGATCTTGACTTGAACTGCTGTCTTCAACAGTTACATCAAGCTGGCAAGCTTCAGTTGTCATGTGGTTTCCATAGTCATCTAGTTCAGCATCATCTTGATCAGCTTCATAAAAACTCTGAGGGGAATCAGAAATTTCAAATGTGAATTCAGCATTGGCAACTTGCTCTCGATCTTCTGTTGCATCTCCAGCTTCACCATAAGGGAGTTCAGAAATGGAAAAATCTTGATTATTCTCCGCGACCTTGATCTGTTGATCAATGGAATCCTCCTTGTTTGTTCCAACCATATCCATCTTGTCAGAAATCTGAGGAGAATCAGCAATTTGGTTCTGAAGCTTCATAGTTGCATGATCAGTTTGAAGAGATGTATCCTCCTGGTGACCATTTAGAACTTCAGCTGAAATGTCTGTGGTGCAATCATTTTCATCATATCCAAGTTGAGGATGTGTTTCAGTGACATCATTCTCCGTTTCATGAACTCCTTCCTCCTGAGTTTTCTCCCTGGCCTCCTCGGTTTTAAGCGCCTCAGATGCATCTTCAGCTGAAGTTAAGTCCCGTGCCCCTTGGATAGATTCGAGAATCTCCCAATAATGGAGTATGCCATCCCACTCAGAATCACTATCGCTGCATTGCATATCAATGTAGGCAGTTTCCTCTGCAAAAAGTTCTTGCAGTATCTCATCAGCTAGAATTTCCTCTGTGCAGTTGCTGACTGCGTTGTCTGATATAATGATCTCACAATCCTCATGCCTATCAAGTTTCTTGATTCCTGTTGTGCCCTCGACTTTGGTGCAAAATTCATCTTCATCAGGCTTGTTCAAATCATCAGCTTCTGTAACAACCTCTGAAGTAGAAAGTTGGCCCTCCTCCCACTCCATGTCAGTTGCTTCAGAGATGTTATCATCTTCATCCATGCTTGCTTGGCATTCCCCTTCCATGTCACTCCTGTTTTCACAGTTTCCCATGATTGCTTCTTCTTCGGACAAGGTTGACGAGCAGTCCGTATTCCCATCCCTTTCATCTTCTATTCCTGTAACATCAATCTCTGGTTCATTGGTATTATTGAAATTTTCCTCAAAATCAATCTCTGATCCTTGTAATTCATCTGGCAAGCTCTCAGAAACTTGATTGTTGCTGTCTTGTTCAGCTGTTCCTTCATGGCTAGTGTAAAAACAGGACTCGTTAATCCGTCTTTCAGGTTCTCCAGAAAAAGCGCTATCTTCTGTATTTTTGGAGAAGATTTCAATGAAGAAATCCTTGCCGGTTTCTTGTATCATAGGTTTGTCGCCATGAATTTCTTCTGTTCCTTCACCAGATGGCCTGGCTCTACGGGGGGATAAAACCTCCCATTTCATGCTTTTCTGGACCTTCAACGAATGCCTCCTTGCCTTCAAGAAGCACTTAAGTGGAGGCACAGGTTTGTGATGATGACCGTTAAGAGAGCAATAGGTGTATGGGCATACCTTCTTGACAGAAGTTCCCTCTGATTCAGTACCCCCGGGATTAAGCATAAGGTATGGAGGAAACTTGGAGTCCTTCAGGGTTGAAGAACAAGTAGCTGTTTGTGCACTCACGTCTGCACAAAGAGCTACCCTAGAACATTTTTTCGCAGTACCTCTCATTGGCTTAAAACTGGGAGTCCTCACCAGCTTCAAACTAGATGTCTTTGATAAAGTTCTTGCCTGTTTGTTACTAGAAGCAGGGCTAAATTTCGAACTACCAGAGTTTCTACGATGCAAGTTCTTGCCTTTTGAACCGGCTTGAGTATTCAAGGGACTCACCAGGGAACACTCCTTTCTCGCCTCTGAACTGCTGGTGGACTTCATATAATTCGGCGAACCATCAGTTGTTTTGATCATAAGCTGCTTCTGTGGTGTTGCTTCGGTTGTCGGAGCATTGAGAGGCGGCGGCGGCTTTCCAGGCTGTGACATGGATTTCCTCAAAGGTGATGATGATTTCAAGCTCTCAATATCAGAAAGCTTGATTGATCTTGACCTTTTCATTTTCTTCTTCATATCAGGTCCTCCATTCTTTCCATCCTGATGCTGACAAGAATTTGGTTTCAGGTTCCCCAACCGCTTCTCGGCTTTAACATGATCAGCTTGGATACCAAGCTTGTTGGGTACCTTTCTTTGCACCATCTTCAAAGAAAAGCCAGCAGCAGCAGCATGAATTTCAAATGGAAATTTGATGCTAGTTTTCTTAGAGATGGGGAGGTCTAGCTTTGGAAGGAAAGTGGTATTGTTGAGGATTGAAGAAATGAATACTTCTTGACAACCAAACAACTAATCTTCTTCTTGTTGAGTTTCTTATTGTTTTCGGTGGGTAGGCCTTTTGTTTTACTTCATTGGTCATAGGGGCAGAACTTATTTGAACAAAAAGGCTGAGATAAATAGTCTGATGCTGACTTCCACCCTTTATTTAGGCATTTTCTGTATTGAATTATTTATTTCTGCATTTTAAAAATATTTTTAAAAAATATAATTTTTTTATTTACTTTAAATTAATATATTTTTAATATTTTAAAATCATTTTGATGTAATAATATTAAAAATAATTTTTAAAAATAAAAAAATTATTAATATATATTTTGACATGAAAATTTATTTCAAAAAAAATATATAATCACACTATCAAATAAGTACATATCATGAAAATATTGCACTTGATTAAAAGATTATTAAGAAGATATTTGAAATTATAGCAATAGTTATTTTTTAATTATTTCTAGTTTAGAAAAATATTAAAAAATATCTTTTAAGAAAAATATTTTTAACATTAACATATTAAAGGATTTAGAAACACTAAAAAATTAATTTAAATGTTTTATTTTTTAAATTTTGATGAAACATAGAATAAAACTCAATCTCAAACACTTCTTTGAAAAATTGACACAGAAACCATTTCAAGAAAATTAATATTTTTTTAATTAATTTTATTTCATTTTATTTTTATATTATTTATTGTAATATTTTTCTAGTTTTTTTTTTCTATTTCAATATAATATTTTTTCTAGTTTTTTTTAATCGGTATTATATATAAAGATTGCAATAGTTTTTTTTCTAGTAAGTAGTAGTGTGAAAGAATAAAATTAAATATTTTGAGTTTTTTTATATTTATGGTGTTTTTTTTGTTTTTAAGTGTTTTGATCTATAAGGAACTATTTTATCATTTGTTTTTCTTTGTGTCACAAGAATTTTTGTTTTTAAAAAAATAAATATTTTTTTTAGTTAGTTTTATTTCTTTTCATTTTTAATTTTTTATTCTTTATTAAGATGCTTTTCTAGTTTAATTTTTTATTTAAAAAAATATTTTTTCTATTTATTATTATTATGGTTTTCTAGTTTTTTCAATATAAAAGATTGTAATAGCATTTTGATAAGTAAAAACATAAAAAAAAAATTAAATATTTCAAGAAACGTCTCATACTTATGGTATTTTTGGTCAATGAAGGTTATGACAAATAATGAACTCCTTTATCATTTGTTTTTGTTTGCAGTAATTGATAACAGAGTCCAACGATTCTTAATTTGCATCAATGACAGTTTCTAATTAAAAGCTAAACTCGAGAACGAGTTCAATTCAAACTGATTTAAGAGTTTTTTTATAAAAATAAATATTTTTCTTAGTTGATTTTATTTCTTTTTATTTGTATAATCCTTTTTTAGTTTTTCTCATACTTGAATATATTATTTTTTTCTAGCTTATTTCTTTTTATTTAGTATTAATAGATTTTTACTGTTTTTTTTCATACATAGAGTTGTAATAGTTTTTTTGATAAGTTAAAATTTTAATAAATAAAAATTAAATATTTTGAGAATTTCTTAATACTTATAATGTTTTTGATTTTTTATGGTTTTAATTTCCAATAAACATCTCATCATTCACTTTCTTTGGTATTAAAAAAATAAAAAAGGCTTGGGTTACTTGTCATCAAGTCAACTCACATGTTACCGAATTTATTTTAATCAATAATTTTAATTAAAATGAAATAACTCTTTATTTTTTTATATACACACAACATAGAACTTGTCCCTAAAAATCTAATCAAAACAAAGAATATAGCTAAGCTAATAATGTTTTATTCGATCGAAGTAAAAACTTTTTATTTATTTATTTATTTATTTATATGGGGTGTCCGGATGAGCTTGTGCCCATCAGGATTAATTTTTATGACCCACTGAATACCTTGCAAACCTAGTAAGCATGTAAGATACTATAAAGATGACAAATATATACATCAAAACTCAAATCCAAATATAATAAAAAAAGACAAGTTCTTCCATCACTAAACCAAGCACTAAACGCAGAGTAACGAGGCAAATGACACTAACTTATTGCATATATGAGTCGTGAATTTTCTATGTAAACCTGCAAAAGCAACGAGGCAAATGACACTAACTTACGTACACACAGGTGATGATTAAATGCCCTGACCCATTAGCTTTTATCTCATGACATGACTACCCCCTCCTCCCTTATCCAGACGAGGGGTCTCTTTTCTATTAAAACTGAAAATAATATACCTAAGTTCAATGTGTGTTTCACTCGGTGAGGTGATCTAAAACTTGAACTGAATTGGGATTTAAAAACACAAATGAAGATGCTTTAATTAAACCTAAATGACTTATTAAATTAACAAGATTGATCAGGTTTAAACCTAGTTATTAAAAAAAAATCAGGACTTTATCATTTAAAATTATTAAAAAAATAAATTAAAACAACAACTGGGACGATCCATAATGACTAATGGTCCCATGGCCAATGCAAGCCATGTCCCCTGCGTGCAATGATTACTGATGGCCCCTAACTAACGATCTTCTCCTCATATTTTTTCTCAATTCTCCTAAAATGGTATTTGAAGAAAATCCATGAGACCCCATTTTCTGCAAGAATATAGTACTGCGGAGGATTTTTCCTGTTTTATATTATCAGCTGTTCACTGGGCGGCCACCAGCACCACGATTGGGCGGTAGAACTTTACAAAAGAGGAGCTATGGTCGGCAGGATTAGGCTGCTTTGTGGGGCCTATTTTCGCCCTAAAGGTCCATTTACAGACGCTCCTCTGCTCTATCTCCAATGAAAAAAGCACGGCGCCATTGATAAAAAGACACGAGACCCTGAAGCAATTGATAATCTTTGCTCGCACGGCACAGGCCCATGCCTGAATTCTTTTTTAAGGTCCTTGCTTTTTTTTCAGGGTCAAATACATGCTTATAAGCTCAAGTTGATGAGTCGAATAGAAACCTTGAAACGAAGTTAATTTGAATAAAAACCAGGTTTTTAAGCTGACACAGTCTGAATTAGTACATCACTGGATTGACTCGTCGGGCCGGGATTTCTGAATGTGATAAACCATTGTAACGAACTTGGTGTCCCACTAGGAAATTCAAATTGCAATGTGTCTGCTTCCAAGGGTGAATTTTATGCAAGAATTAGTGTAGGGTTTGATGACTTTCAAAAATGCACATGCACATACGGACAAGTTCAACTGAGATTTTGGACAAATACTGGCCAAATCTTGATGATTTACAGGCGAGTTTAAAAATGATTGTTGGACTTTATCTGCTGAGGGTTTAGACTTCAAATTTGATTCAAAAAAATAAAAATTCAAGCCGAAAATGTTGTAAGGAGACGTATCTGTGTGCTTGCTGTATGTAATTTGACTTGGCTGGTGTTCTAGCTTAGCATGGGATATGGCTCAGTTCAAGGTCTAGATTGCCAGTTTATTCAATTTTTTGATGAAATAACATCGGTTTTTTTATATAGATTAAAAAGAAAATTGAAACAATTTTATTTTGGGTAAAAATTATTGAAAGAAACAGTGTCTTTTCCAGATTTGATTGAATTTAATAACTATTTTCTATATATATATAAAATGAATCTCTTATCCCAAGTTATGCTCTGGACTCAGCGATCATCAGGATGACTTGCACAATCAAATTGGATTTAATAATTATGCTCTAGACTCCCTATAATAATATAATTTCCTAACAAAAAATCTCTTCTCGGACCATACTTACATCATCCAATGGTAAACCAGATTCGAAAAATCTCAGCAACCCTACATGGCTTTGTCGCTAACACTTGATCAATTAGCCAAGGTAATAGATAAAAGGTGGACTCTTTTCCTCAAAACCCTAGGTTACTTTAGTTTCCCTAAATGTGAATCACCTTACAAGTTAGGGCTTACTTTCTCAAGTTTTGTAGACTCCCACCGACACTGATTACCCTTTTGCCTCTCCTTTTGCTAAGGGTCACAACTTTTCGTAGACTTTGATCTAATGGCTGCTATCGCTGCAGTTTCGTTTCAAACACTGTTTATAAAAAAATATTTATCAGTTTATGTTTAATTAATGGGTCCAACCCCTTATTCCCACTGTAACTAAAATGATACGATGAGGATTTGTCAGCATTGATAGTTTGATACGGTCATGATCCACCATCAAGCTTCTTTTAAGGGTAGAGATATTCTGGGGTGTGCCCTAACAAAAACAAAATAAGATATTTCATGACAAAGTTATTAAACTTCGGTCCAAAACTTATAATTTGAGAAAATTAACTTGAAAACAAGTGTTTTTTTTTTTTAAAAAAAAATCTAATAAGTTTTAATAAGTTAGAAGTGAACTTAGAAAACCAAATCAATTCTCATCGAGTTTAATTTAAAACTCAACTTATATTAGGTAATGAATAGACAAATTACTAGTTTAATCCACTAAGCTAAATCGAGTTTAAAACACTGCTGTTTTGATAGAAAAGAAAATATAAATTCAAGATATTGGTGGCATATTGAATGCAGACAAACATATATTATATTCCACTAAACAATATCCAACCCTATCATAAATTCTAAAAGCTCCATCCATCCATCAATTTGCTATCATATATATATATATAGCATTCTTTTATCACCATGACCTTCAGGGACTCAGACTTTAGGCTAGAGGCCATATAAACAAATTAAAAAAATTAATGCATACCCTAGCTTGGTGTGGATGGTTTGTTGCAAATTTACATAATAATAAAAGACAAATAGATTGATAATAAAAAGAAATTATGAGCATGGGTCCTCAAGACTCCCCTACAATTGACAATATTTATTGCTGGTCCTCTATATTTTGGACAAATTCAGCCTTGAATTCTCCGATGATGGACAGAAAGAGCATGGCCTAGACACCGGTGGACCACTATACAGATAATCCCATGTCTTGTTTCCCTTCATAAACAACTTTTTCAAAACTAAAGAGAGTAAACAGTCCAAAAATACTCAAAAGCAATGATAAGGATTGCAACCTTATATATATATATATATATATTATATAAAAAAAATCAATATTTTACACGAGTCGATGACTTAAATA